GATGATGATGATGATGATGATGATGATGATGATGATGATGATGATGACTTCTACTTGATGATGGTCTCCTACCACATCACCAAGGCGCCAGGCCTCCTCTCCTCCAAGAAGATCGCCACCCACCGAGCCAACCTAGCATCACCTTGCATCACCTATACCCACCTACCCAACCTCCTCCGCCCCACAAGCATCGCTGGCACGGGCCTTCCGCACGGCAGAGTCGAGCTTTCCGGGCTCGCAAGAGGCAGGTCTTTTGACGATGACACTCTTTCAGCCTCGCGATGGCGTCAGCTTCGTCGCCTTTGGAAAAGGCCCGGCAAACGGGCTTCGACGCCGCAAGGATGAAAAAGGAATCGGTTTTCACGGGGGCCTGGCACAAAACAAGGATTAGCAAGCCATAAGAGTGCGAAAGATGTTCAAAGATTGGGAAGACAATCCAATCTTGATTAGCTCGAATTCTTTGGAATGGTTTGCTTTCCCAGCACCTCTCCCATCGCCGCTCTGCGTCACAGGTGCCAGCGCCTGGCCACCGCCGCTTCAGTCTCTTCCAACAGCTTCTGAGCCTTGCGGCCCTGGCCCTCCGCCCTCCGCTTCTGCAACGCCTGGGAATCATTGCCAGACGATCAACAACACCCCAAACCATTGGGAGACGAAACCCACTTTGATCCGGCATGAAGCACGTTTCCAAAGGGGGGTCAATGTCGAGAAGCCACATGGACCGGCGACACCGCCCCGGGGTGAACGTGAAAACAGGAGAGTCCAGTCGAGTTCCCTGCAGGTTCTCGCTTGGTCCGTCAAGAACGTCCGATCACTATAGCCGAATGTAGAGTACCAGGACCTTCCAAGAAGTGTCTATCAATGGCTTCTTAGAGGTGATTCGGGGTGTCCAAGAACCACCTGTTGGAAGGTCCAGGAGTATGACTCTTTTAGAGTGCTCCCTTTTTTCGGACTGGAATCCGAGAGAATGAGACGTCTTACATGGATCATGAGGCCTCAGACCGGCGGATCATACAGGCCGCTCAGATACCGTCGCCCCGGGCCCGCCACGGGCGACCTCACGTTGGCGCGACACGAGCGACGGAGGGAGCATCGCCTTCTTCAACTCACTGATCTCGAAGAGCATCGTGCTCGCCTGTGAGTCATATTGGCACTGGGGGAGGCACCGGAAAAAACCCGGGAGCTGCACACGAACAGCTTCAGCTCTGAAAGGGTTGAATACTATACTAAGAAGATCTAAGAAGGTCATCCTACCAGGGTGAAACGGGATCTGGGTTTGACCCACCACATGGGTAGTGTGTGACATAGGTGAGATTCGAAGGACATGGTGAATGGCGAAGGCTTTTCGGGGGGTGTGATATGGATCAAGTCTTTGTGAGAATTGGATGGAGTAGACCCTGGGTATCTCGAGAAATGTAAAACAGTAGGACTCAGTAGGAGGAGGAATGGACGAATGACCAACGACTGTGTTGACTCACCTGATTCATGTCTTCCTTTCCTGCACAAGAACAGTGAAAAACTAGTACGTCGCTTGTGTCATTTTCGGCCCAACCGCGCGGTCCTTGGTCTTCTCACGACTGTAACAACCCCTGCGATTTCATCTTTCCAGACCGGAAGTGACTCGACTTCCAAAAATACTGGAGCCAAATCCTGAATGCATTATCCGTCCACATCCGAATCACCGAAACACGAAGTCGTGACTTGATTGAAAAAGTCGATGATCCAATATGAGATCTTCTTGGACTGATATCGCAGTACATCCCAACTTCCCAATCATATTCCTGTTGCATGGGGTCTCATTAAACCACATTGCCCTGGAAGAGAAGAAGAAGGGAAGCCGAAAACCGCTGTTAATATGTGTTGTAGAGGAACATAGTCTTCCAAAGGTCCATTTCAGGTTCCATGTTTGTCTTCCCGGGTGTATCTCAAATGGCCTAAACATCCTAAACTCTCTCTCACTCGAATGACATGTCGCCCTCAAAGGGTATGTTGGAAATTGGTTTTAATTAATACCATGCAATGTCTTCTCCATTTAGCGAGCACCACTTCAACAAAGTGGATCAGTTGTAGAATCTATTTCAATCTATTTCACCATATTTTACCTGTTGCCTGCCCAGACACCCATCTTCCACGGTACCCGGTGGGGTGGAAACCATCCCGACACTTGGAATCCACGGGTTTTTGGGCCGAACACCCCACCTGGTCAGCTGATGAGGCAGCCTCTTGCAAAGCCTGAAGCAAGAGGAGAAGCCAAAAGGTGAAAGCCGATGCACGAGATCCTGACCCAACAACACGTGAAAGTCTTGGAAATTCTTGAAAGAATCTGGTGAAGCGTTGGAATAGAATCAATGCGTTGGTGAGTTGATTGGTATAGACCTGTCCTTTTGCTATAGAAGTAGGAATATCACAGGTGAGGCTTTGCGACTGTCGCGTGACTTCTGACATTCAGTCCTGTCCTATAGTCCATGGTGTGCATCAGATTTCGGGTGCTCCAATGTCAAAGCTTTGTTATAGCTTTATTACATGACTGGGGATTGAAAGCATCTATACTATTATTCTTTACTGTGTCTGATAGACGGGTATGTTGTCGGATCTGTGGCTGTTCCACCTGTTCAATCCTGTTCATCTTTCGAGGAAACCGACGAGTTAAGACTCGAAGTCCGCTGGCTTTCGTCGCGTTGCTCTCAAGTTGGACAGTGCAGATAACAAACGGTTTCTTGTTCTTTTCGCACGCACTCTGAAGAAACACTGTGCAGGGACCATGCGACCCTGCTGCGGTCTGGGTCCCTTCTCCACTACACAGAGGGACATTGATTTGGGGCATTCTTCCAATTTGTGGACCATTCCAAAGGGAGAAGCCCAGTGTTTTCACCATGCGTGAGCCCAGCGGAATGTGCATGCATCGAACCCGGAGCCCACCGTTCCGGAAAAAACGTCGCCTGCAACATGGAATCACTCGACTTCCTGGCGACATCACAGGCGGAGTGCCGACCCTCCATTGAAGTCTTTGTGCGATGGGCATGGATCGGTGGGGCTTTGAAGCACCTGGAACTGCAAAGCGAAGCCGGACGTCCGTTGCACTGAGAGGTTTGATCGAATGGGCGAAATGCCGCGAGACGGCGAAACGTCTACAGCCGAGTCCAGTCCACCGCTTCCCCAAGCACGCGCCCACCGCTTCACGAGTCGAGTCGGGGCACGTGTGACGCAGCGTCCGGTCGCAGCGCCCATCGAAACCGGTGCTGGTGCTCAGACCCATCGGTTCCACCGATTTCGGTCGATGAAACAACGAGTGAAGGTCCAAAGCTGCCAGCCAACGAAAAGGGGGGTTGCCCCTGTGGTGCGAAGAAAAGAGCGTCTCCTTCTCTAGGGCTCCAAGTAAGTATCTACGAGTACCTGTGTTTTCTTCAGGTCTTTGGGGTGCCAGGAAGGTCTTTGGTCATACCTGCATTTCGGAGGCACTTGGAGCGCCTCGGGCTGCCCTGCCTCAGCAGTTGCAGTTGCAGGGCTCGTAAGGTCACGGTGGCCTCGTCACGCATGGCGAGTTGAAGGTGTCAAAGCATCGAACACCGGGGGTTTGGACCGTTCGATCACTCTACGTGTTCGATCATATACTGTAAAATGGCAACATCCTCGTAATTGTAAACAGTATGATGTATTACGTAAACATCATGTTTTACAGTATGATGTATTACGTAATTTTTCATGTGTTCCGTGAAAACCATGCACATGAACACCTCGGCATCGGAGACCTGGCCACATTTACACATCTGAGACCTACCTGACCCCAGTAGACCAACTAAGGTCCTCCGCCCAATCAGCTCTCCAAATCTGATCGACAGAAGAGTTGTACAGAGCTGTACTGAAGCCTTGTTTGGCCCATAAGCGAGAGACCATCATGCCGTGTCAGCCTCTGGAAGCCTGGAAGCCTGTAGTGCAGGGGAGTCCAAATGCTCCTGAAATGACACCCTGATTGGGTGGTTTTTGAGTACTCCCAGTGAATAGGGGAGCAAAGAAAACAAAAAATCATGAGGAGCATCCTGGACCATGAAAAGGTTAGCTTCTGAGAGTAGGTGTGCATAGGTGTCCATACCTTTTGGTTTAGCTGAACAAGCACATGCTGATTGTTGGTGACGCACCTTCTCTCCCATCCCAACATAAAAGTTCTCATCGTGGTGTGTGTCTTTTTCTCCCACCCACCCTCGTCCATCACCACCCACCCTTGCGGAGGACCCGCTCCGGCGAGGTCGAAAAAGCCTCAGCTTCAGAGCTCTCCAAAAGCAGGCTGGATGCGCCCAAGGCCGTGAAGAGCTCCTGGAGGCTCCCCACCACCGGGTGCTTAGGATCCACTCCGAACACCCAGGACTGACAGTCCTCGTGTTCTTCTCGGACCAACGTGCACGTGCGGTCGTTCCCTCGTGTTCGTGCGGTCGGCAAGTCCATGGAAGTCGGGAAAACAGTTGGATCTTCCCAGTGACTGAACTTGATCCCCTGGTTTGAGATCGTTGGCCTGTAAAAGATCACGTACTGACTCAAAAGGTCCTTGGGGTTCATTTTGTCGTTGTGGATGTTCATCCTCTACTTCATCAGGGCCCAAGATGCCCCAAAAGCCCAAGTCCCAGCCCCCGTCGATCTGCACCATCGATCTAGGTGACAAATCTGTTCCTGAGATTGACCGTCTCTCGGTCGCTGCATAATGGCCAAGTCGAATGGCGGCTACAAAGTTTCCGCAAAGCCAGGTAGGAGAACAAAACTTCCGCAAAGTATGTGGAAGGACAAACGGCCATATATATTTGTATATGCCCGTGGATCACACTACGCCACCTACTACACTGCTTATCTTTTGATATCTAAGCAGCTATAGACACATATTCTTGCATAAAAATAATTCTAACATGTGATAACTGCAAGCTGTGCTGGCACTCCGGCGCAAAGGTGTCCTGCGTTTGAAGTTTCTGGAGGGCCGCAGTGGTGGCAGCCGCAATCTGCAGTGGACTTGGGGGATGACAGTGCCAAGATCCCCACACCCATCGGCTGTTGGACCGGCGAGCCTTGCATTTTGAAGATTGTACTACATTGGACCCAGTGCATTGACCTAATACGTCTTGAATGCACCAGGAGCATCCAAAACAAACGCCCCAATCATGTTCATCGGAAATGCCACAAAAATTGCACGAATCTCTGTTTTTTTCTCCATGCTCTCCCCCCTGCTTCCTCACTGCTTGCAGTTCACCCCCGGCCAAACTGAGTCTTGCCTTCTCACCCGCCTCTGCATCTGCACCCTGGCATGGAAAAAAAAAAGTGTGCCGTGGCCAAGACTGGAGGGTTTCGGGGTGGCGTGCGGTGGATATGGCTGATGTTTTGTGGACTGCCGCAGTCAAATTGGCGCAACACCTCCACAGTCAACCAATTCTTCCGCTCAGTTTGTGAGATGGGCGGGAGCACTGGGTCTCGTGGCATGACTTGAGAAAAGGGGGGTGGACGAAAGGTTGGTAAGCAACCGAAGGTCAGCGGCACCAACTGCAGCAGCAGCCCACCAAGCAGCAGCAGAGGCAGCAGCAGACAAGCAAGCAGCAGACAAGCAAGCAGCAGCAGACAAGCAAGCAAGCAAGCAAGCAAGCAAGCAAGCAAGCAAGCAAGCAAGCAAGCA